TTAAACGGCTGCCCGTTTTAAATTTTAAAGAATTTTAGGCTTTTAAGGGATAAACGTTTCGAGGTTGTTAAGGGCTTTAAAGCCTGTTAAGATCCTTTAAATCTTGAAAATTTTGAAAGGCTTTAAATACCTTAAAGCCCTTCAAATTTGAAAAGGGCTGCCCCTTTTAAGGATCTTTAAAATTGCAAATGGTCTGGGGAAGCCCCGGTGCCTTCCACAGATCATCTAAATTTTTACAAACCCCTAAAACCTAAACCCAACCCTGAAAAGCCTTAAGCTTCTAAATGGCTACCCTTCTAAAATTTTATAGAGCCGCATAACACAAGTTTCAGAAGCAAAATGCACATAAAAACACTAGTGTTTTTATAGAGGATAATATAATAGAGCTTTTTGTATTCCAGTGCAGTTTTTACTGCATTTTTCCTGTGAAAAAACAGAAAATCAGACAAAGACGAAGACAGGAAAACCATAGGTGTGGATCATGGGGGGGGGGGCTGACCATATATATATATATATATATATATATAGATATACATATGTATTTAGATCTGTAAACACGCATGCCGTAGAAACACGCCTAGGCAAGTATGGGAAACACCTTCTGCGTAGAGATACATGCGTGTGTTTACATCATGGAGCAGCAGCACCAGAAAATAAACTAAAACAGAGGCCTACACATAAGTTCCAATAAACACACAAGTATACAGTATACGTATAAGTACAAGTCAAAGTGTAAGTACAAGTATAACATAACACAAGTGCATATGCATGTTATGCATACACACACATATGTATATATATATATATGGGTGCACGTAGTCAGTGTATTTATGTGACCAGTTGTTGCGCGCACCCGAAGTCAGGTTTCACACAGAAGGATGCACCTTCGAATATTTGGTGGCGCCAGGGCCCAAGCGCTTGGAGCAGCTGACGGACAGAAAGTGCACTTGTGAAGACTGCGAAGGCTCAGGCGCAGGCTTTGTTAGAATAGGGCTTCTATAAGTCTTCCTCAAAGCCAAGCTCGCCGGCAGTCTGCAGGTGTCTTCAGCTTGTGCTTCCACAAAATCTGAACATCCTAGGCCGGTTCTGCACCGACCCACCGAAGTGTCAGCGGCACTCCATGCGCTGGAGCCATGCGCACCCGACCTGGACCTTCTGGGCTCTCCCTTGGATAGGCCTGTCCCCAAAGAGCCCAATACCCCTTAATTAAGGAAGGTTCCTTAAATCATACTAAGGATCCTTTTGTAGTTTAAGGTATATTCCTTAATTAAGGGGTATTGTGCTCTCTGGGTCTCTCCCTGAGAATAAGCTTGTGGTGGCTTTGGAAGGCACGTGCAGCATGCCAAGTTCGCTCCACGGCCACATGAAAGCAGAGATGCCCAGTCGTGAGCAGGCACATGGCTCCGGCGGATTCTGCGGGATGAAACACTTCCGGACCAGAGTCACATGCCGCTTTGAATTGCGCTGCTACTGCTGTCCATGGGTGTGGTTTTGTTTTGCTTTAAGTGCTGTAGTTAGTGGTGACCATGGTGTGATTGAATGTGCTCCTGCATTCCTGGCTTTCGGCAGGAGGCGCCGCACATGGGCGCATTGAGAGTTGCTGACATCCCAGAGGACTCCTCTGCGAACGGCCCTCGCGCAGTGAAATGTGCAACATCAAGAGAAAGGTCAGGAGGAGTTTAGAGTTTGGAGCATGAGCCGCCCTGGGGCATGGATACTCAGTGTTTTGTCTCAGCTGCACCAAAGGAAGTCCAGGGCCGGCTTCTTCAGGATTGCTACACTCCCCCCAAGAGACTCGACGTAAGAACTGTCGGCCCTAGAAATATCCAGGACGAAGACATGCTAAACGTGGCTGCCTGGGAGGACAAGGCCTGCTGGAAGCCTCTCTTCAAATTCTGCTTCATCGTAGAAGCTGTGCAAAGAAGTCGAAACAAATCAGGCGCATCCTGCCAGGTCACAAAGCAGTGGTGCAAGTTTGACAACGACTCCTGGCAGCATTCTGAATTCTTCCAACGGAGAGCTGATGCACATGTTCTGGATGACGACCAGCTTCATGCCACTGCTCCGGAAGTAGAACCTACGTCAAGCGTCGGCTTTGTACACCATTGTGCCCGACCACACTCTGTTGCGCGGAACTTTCCCAGAGAGCCCAAGACCCCTTAAGTAAGGAATATACCTCAGCTTATCAAGGGATCTTTATTATGATTTCAGGAATGTTGCTTATTCAAGGGGTATGGTGCTTATTCAAGGGGTATTGGGCTCTTCGGGTACCTCAGGCTGCGTATGGGCTTCTAGCAGCGCATCACATGACCTTGGCACGACGTAAGGATCGCACAGAGTTCGAGGAGCCGCCCAGACTGACATGGTTTTGTTCTTGGGAGTCGCCGGCGATTTCAAGTACACTTGTTGGGGGAGCTTGTGGGTGCTCTTGACTTTGTGCGCAAATCTGGCCTGCATGTTATGCAAGAGATGTGCCAGGATGAGAAGCCCAGAAGCTTCCTGCCAAAAGTTCTGGGGCAGCCAAGGATGATTCGCTGGAATCCCAGCAACGCCAACAAGTGTCCCTCGGGCACCGGCTGTTCCAACATCATGGCCGACAATCGGTTCTACCCGAAAGGTGCGGCCAAGGCGGGAGGGATACTTGGAGGTTTAGGTACTGATGAACCAATTCTAACTGTTACCTATAACCCACTTACAAGCCCCTGAAGTGCCCCAATATGGTTATAAGATATACGTACACTTATAAGTGGTTAATAAGTACCATGAACCTCCCAGTCGGCAGAGGGCGGAGGCGAGATCAAAAATGGGGGCATGACTGTTGCACCGACTTTAGTGTATCCAGGGTGTTAGTCAAAAGCTTCGATAATTGATTCTGCGAACCGAGTTTGTTGCTGTTATCACAAGTTTAGTTTTTGGACGGTTGCCTGTGTTTTTTTAAGGGTTTGTGTTTAGGGCTTACGCAGGATGGCTTGAGGCCCTCAGGGCCTTTGGGCTCCCGGAATCTTAAAGAGCCAGAGGAATCCAGAAAGCTAAACCCGGCCGGTTTCCACGGAATTTCATTACGAAACGAGGCCCCAAACAAATTTGGTGATAGGTCGCCCACGAGCCGGCCGGACTGTCTTTAGTAAGTTTGTCTGGTCACGCTCTATAGTACACAGTTCTTTTTCTGGATGATTGTTTTTTCAAGGGTTTGTGTTTAGGGTCTTGGGCTCCAGGAATCTTATAAAGGCTGGAAAGCTTCAGGCCTTGAGGTCCTACGGCTTGAGGCCCTGAGGGCGGTTCCCCCCAATTTGTTTGGGGGGGGTTGGCCGCGCCACGCATTTATAGAGGGTCCAAATTTGTTGGGGGTCAGGGGGGGGGGGGGGGGGGGGGGGGGGGGGGGGGGAGGCCCTAATAAAAGCAGTGCAACATTATCTGGCATGGACCAGGCGTACCATCACAGCAGGCACAGTACTTCTTGGCATGCTCATTTGGCAGTCGTGATTTCATGACCCGAAGATACCGAAGATTGGTCGCCTCCCCTACTGCGCATTTTTTTAGCTGCACATTCAATCTCCCCTAAACCCCCAGGGCCTTAAGCCTTAAGCGCTGCTCAACACCTCTGACATGGATCTTTCGATGCTTGGAAGCCTTAAACAGAATGATGCCGTTTGGGGTTTAGGGTTTAGGGTTTGGGGTTTAGGGTTTGTGCTTAACCCCAGACTTGTCAGGCACACTTTACGGCACACAACGCCAAAGATCCTGTGGAGACCAGGAGGCCACCGGCATCCGTTGGCCCTGGTTGGGTTTAGGGTTTAGGGTGTTTAGGGTCTTTAGGGGGTTTAGGGTGTTTAGGGGGTTTAGGGGGTTTAGGAGGTGTAGGGGGTTTATAGGGTTTAGGGTACCACGGGAGTCCGGATGCAAAAAGGGTTTAGGGAACCCTTCGACAGTGCTTGCACAGGTGGATTGACCGAATCAATGAGCGGTACCAGAAAGGCCTCTATCCCACCAGGATCATCATCTACCAGGCCAGGACGGGAGAAAGGTGTAGAGGTACAAGGGCGTGCCCAGGGTTTGCCAGAACTCGAAGTTTGAAGGCGTAATGCTTAGCTGGCAGCACGATCGTTGTGGACTTTGCTCCTGCTGCTTCTTGTCGCCTAGAGCCTAAACCCTTAACCCTAAACACTAATAAACCTTCATGCGGTCGCTGAAAGCCAAGCCCGCCGAGGGACGACTTTTCGCTACTGGCGAGGAGCTTCGAGCGAAGCATCCTGAGCTTCCCTGCTTGCTTTGACACGGTTTGGGATCGGGTTTAGGGTTTAGGGTTTAGGGTTTGGGGTTTGGGGTTTGGGGTTTGGGGTTTAGGGTGAGGCTCTGTGACTCAGTAAGAACATCCAGGGAGGTGACAATCTGCAGGAGGGTTTGAGGTGCCCAAGACGGGTCCTCACCCCATGAGCCAGCAGGGTGCTCATGTGCTTTCCCAACATGGGGAGTTCGCGGGCATTTGCGCCCAGACGGTGACGGCCGATCGTGATTACAAAAAGGCGACTTTCTCAGGACTGCTCCTGCTTGGGCAGTGATGCTGCCTTGCGAAATCGGTCCATCAGCTTGCCTCATGTGCACTCCTGCCTCTTGCTGCGCTGCACGCGCCCTGCAAAGTCGAGATTTGAAAGCGTTCCGATGCTCAACAATCGATTTATGTCGTCTTTTTGTTTGTACTTCTGAAGCTTTGCTGCAGGCTGCCAGTAGAACGGGTGTCCACGCGGTTAGCTCTCAAGTTTGTGCCCTATGGTCCAGTTTTATGATGGGATTCGTGCTGCCTGTCTTCATTCCAGTTGAACGAAACAGTGTCCGTATGGTTGGGACATGTTCTATCCGTAGTGGTTGGTTGACGTCGCAGACATGTAATTTAATTGAGAACCCAAACACGGTTGCCAAGCCAGAAAGGACATGCGAGGACCCATCGCGCAGATCATCTCTTGAATCAAGGGTTGAAAGCATGTCTGCTGTTGGCCCGGCAGGTTCAACTTGCCAGTGACGCGCCCGAAGACTCAGCTAGCTTCAAGCAGCCTGCCGGTCACCTCTTTTTGCAAGCCTGCAGTTTATGCTTGAGAGCTTAAGCGCCAGCACGGGCCCATGTGAGCCCCCAAAGCTGCAACAGCCCTTCGCATTGTCCGACGGCCCTTGCAGGTCCCATGAAGAGACGCCCCGTAAAGAGCGGCAGGACCCTTGCATTGATCCAGCCTAGATAAGTGTTGTGAAGACTGTGACCACCTGTGGTTGTCTTGGAGCTTTGCTGTGCAGTCTTGGTGGAAAGCGGCTTCTGTCGACCAGATGAAAGACGACGGCCAGGGACTGAAAAAGTTGCGTCTGCCACAGTAGTCGTCACAGATTTGGACATGCAAGGTCCAAAGCAGTGCCTGCAGCCACGCTCGGTGTCGATGTTTGTTCTTCAGAAGCGCAAATCAACTGACGACACGTAAATTGCATTGAGCTATGCTGCAGGGAACAGTTCGCCGCTGCGCTCACCCCGAGCGCGCAGGGAGGGTAAACAGGCAAGCCGAAGTTTCAGCCGAATCTGAGCCTAAAGTGCCTGCATTGGCCAAAGCGTCTATATAGCGCTCTTTTGTGATTTCTAGTGCAGTAGCAGCCAGTAGCAGTAGCACTTGCACAACTCTGTCGCATGGCCCGCAAGCTACTTTCTGCGTCTGCATCGGTGGTTACAGGCATTGACGAGAAGTTCGAGTCTTGAGTTCTGACAGGCTATGGGGTCGCAGCGGAGCATAGCAGACATTGGTGGCGTCCCAAGTGGCTCTCCAGACCTCCAGTCTCCAGTCATGCGGCAGGCATTCTTTCCCAGAATAGTTATAGGCATGGGGTTATATCGCAATATTCTTGCACGAGACTTTGTATGGCACCCTCCTGGCTATAGATCCCAGACCTCGAACGGATATACAGGTCAACTACAGCAGTCGTAGCGGCACAAATCAGCCCCCCCCCCCCTCCCTCTCCCCCCGACAAGTGTGGCCAAATATGGACTACTACTCCTGCGTCAGGTTCAGAAGGCATGCTATTCTTCTCCCCTCCAACTCGGTGTCCACAGGAGCAACTTCGGGCTTCGGGTCTAGGAAAACGAGTGCAAGCCATGCTGCTGGGGGTACGTAGTCACCGCTGAGCATTTGCCAGGAGCATCGGTTTGACGCGCCGACGGGAGTGACCCGTCGACGCTCAAGCCCAGTTCCGGTATCGAAGGCCTCCGACGCTGTTCTCAAAGGTGAAGTGCAGTAGCTGGCACATGCTCCTCTTCCGAATGCCCTACTAGAGAGCACCAACTACCAGGCCACCCGGGAGTCACGTGAAACGTGCCGATACTTCTGCCGTCGCCCCAGGTATCCTAGTGTCGTCCCTGGGGCATTTGGCCTTGAGCCTTGTTGAAGATCACATGCTGAGGCGACCCCCCTTATAGACAGAGGCGACCCTCGACGGACAGACCTTGGCAGGACCTGATCTGATGTGGTCAGTTCGCCCGGTTTGGGGTCCCTGTCTTGATACGGCCTCTGGTCATACCCTTAGGTGCCCAAACAGGGCCGTCCTTTAGTAGTGATGTGATGCCCTGGGGCCATATACTGCATGCATCAATGCAGTTTGCAAACCCTAAACTCTAAACCCTTAAACCGTTGCTTGCCCTTCTTGCACTATCAGTGTCAGGATTTTCCAGCTGCTGGGCATGCGACGCAACACCACAGGCAGGAACCCTAAACCCTAAACGCATACAGCACGCACATACGCGTAGCAAGGCCGATTTGCCACCAGTAATTGGCCTCGAGTCCGCTCCAGGGGGCTGATCCCAGGTCTTAAATACGATGGCACGCTAAATCATCAGGACTGTGCTGAAGTAGCGCCAGAAAGAGCCCATAATTTGGATCAACCGGTGATCAATCTCGGCAGCCATAGGCGTTTCGACACACCTGCGGGTGAGGAAGCACTGATGGGCTCGAGCCTAAGAAACCTGAGCCTGAGATAGCGGTCTGCATGATTCTAGGACCCGCGCAAGTATTGTTTGTTCCAGGCTTGTTCCGGGATTTGCTGGGCCGGTTCTGTTTCTGCCGATTGCAAGGTTTCCTATTTCATGAGTCCGTGCTACCGTACAAGACAACCTGAGACAACATCCTAAACCCGCCCTAAACCCTAAACCCTAAGAGTTCAGCACTCTGGACACCCTTCAGGGCGTGCACGTTCACAGACTCCGGACTATCACCAACGTTATGCGCAGAATGCTGCAGGCCTGGCCCGACAGATCTCTGAGTCTTAAAGCTTGCAATGCATTGCAAGTAGGGAAGTATGAACGTCTTCAAAGGGTGTCAGCTCTGGGTGGTGGCCAATCTTCTCACGGGCCAGGTACTTCACTGCCCGGCTGCAGCAGAGTCCAGGCCATGTGCCTATGGGTGCGTCGTGCGGTCGGTATCGTCGCCTCCGTAGCCGCGAGGGACGAGCTCTAGTCACTTGACGGCACAGCCGGCAAATCTGCCATTGTGCTGAGCCCTTTCGGCGAGGTAGCACTCGCAGCCGAAAGTCCTCGCAGTATGCGCTCGCTGCA